TTTAGGAAAATTTTAATTTGATTTTAAAACTGAAAAATCAATCTGCTTGGGGTCCATATATATCTTCAGGGCACAGTAAAACGCACTGAACTTTTGTTTTTTGGTTTTGGTGTGATAAGATGTGTGGATCAAGAGGGAGACCATAATCATTAAGTAGAGATAAAATGGAATAAGCTTTGTGTGTAAAGTAGCAACAATCCATTGTCCCTTTCTTTCGTTTTATTATTTGCTTTGCGAATGATTTGATCCATTCGGCCATGTTCTAAGAAATCGGCCCCATCCTCCTTTCGCACATAGAAAAGATGCCCCTGTACTTCCCCCCCTTTTTTTTTTGAACTGTTGATTTGCAAGGAAGATAAACCCTTGATTATTGGCTAGGGTTTGGTTTTGTCTTGGACCTTTTTTATGAAGTTATAGAGATGGAAATCTATCCTATGCTTTGTATAGTTCTTATGATGCAATGCAATATATAGGCAATATCAGCTCATGTTTAGAATTTGCCAAAGGTCTCGAGGTAGTGGCTAGCTGACTAACGGGTGGAATAATGACTTGTAATATAATTATAGTTTAGCTCTCACATATTACAAATGGAATCCCTTTTTTTTTATATGATTTTTCTGGTGAGTTGATAAATCTCGTTTCAATTTATAATAGTGACGAGATTGATTATATATCTCTCGCCTGGATTATATGAATACCGTGGGTTCAAATTTTTAATTTTTAAATAGCATAGGATTACTATATATAAAAAAAGGAGTTAAAAAACATCTTAATGGTAGAAATTTAATCTAAAATTATCCTTATTAAATACAATTAATTTTATTTTTACATATAACATTAACTTTTATACTTATATGTATGCAAATTAAACTGGCTGTAATTCAAAATGATGTAATTACAAGAGGGAAACAAGAAAGGACTCCAGAATCTCCAAGTGAAATATGGCAACAACACAATTACATCAGCAAGCTATAGCTATATGCAGCATGGGTCCTTCTTTATATGTAGTCTTTCATGGTCCCCAAATTAGAAAGAGATAGATGGCCATGAGATACTGATTCATGACAGGCATCGAAAGGCACACACATATCTGATCATGTGGTGGGCTCCGTCCCTGTCTGTTGCTTTTAATCTTGGAGTCTTTACACAGAGAAAGTCCAACAAAGTTCACTGTTGTTTGTGAACATGTGAAACAGTTTAAAAGGCTGGACAAAGTTGATGAATTTTGTGTAAAAAGTCCTTAGGGGGGCTGGAGTTTGGAATATCTCCAGCCATGGAGGTACCAGTATAGACACCCGTATACATGTTTCTTGTTCATTCTGACTGGAATCAGATGCTAACTTCGTTAAATTGGATCGAAAGAGGCAGGATACTCTTACGAAAATCTATGCACGCCCCAATTGCTGACGGGTTTTTTTCAAGAAGGAAAAGGAAATAATCAAGAGTGGGAATACGCACGCAATCTTTAGACTTTTAGCTGAAACACATAGGGTTTAGTCCGTTGTTGGTCCTAATTTTAGTCTTACAATCTTTATGATCTAGATCCTGCACTTGTTTGAAGCAATCTTAGTGGGCTGTTGTGAATTACAGAAGATCGCAATCTGTATTTAATTTAAGAAGAAAAATACCCGAGTCTAGAAAAGAGCAAGGCAAGCAGGAAACAAATCAGGTGGGTGGATGAGTGATCTTGGGACGCAAAGACCCTGGGGAAATTGCGCTTGTCTTCTCAAGCACCATTACTTTATACTATGCTTGCCACCCTTCCTTATGGGCCATGGCCATTGCCCTCGGTTCTCCTAATTTTGGCTCTTGCTCCTTGGCCTCTCTCTGTTCTTTGAGAATTTTTTTATGTTGAAGTAACAAATCATGCAAGGATCGTACAAAGAGTGAAGGGGCAAGCACTTACTACTACAATGTGGTGGGGGCTTGAATGATCAAAGTATTATCCACTTTTGATCCACAAGCTATAGCTCCCACATCGATCTCTCATTGTGCAAAGTATTTAATGGATTATTTTTGTATGTGGGTGTCCCATGTTTCATCACTTCCCACCATCTTAAACGTACAATTGCAAGGACTAAAGTAGCTTCATGGCAAATGCATGCATAATTGCTAAATCCTATAATATTCTTAAAAGCCTAGTGCACAAAGGGGAGAAGCACTCGGTAGTTTTTCCGCATTTAGAGAGTGAATATATAGATAATGTTTTAAGGGCCTAGCTACGTAGCCAATGGGAAAATTATTATTTGAGAGGCCAAGCTTTTATAAATTAGAAGAATTTGATACAATATGTTTTTAATCTTTCAATTCTTGTATTAACAGAGGGAGCTATCAAATCTTTTGCTTCCCAACAGCTACCATAAGCAAACTCTATCCAATATATTTCAACTGTTTTCTATCTCAGTTTTTTTTTTAAGAAAAGAAAATAAATTTACAAATATGTTGAGTTTTTATAGAATTCTAGAGACCAAAACTTATAATATTCATGTGAAATACTGGATTAACCAGATGTTTAAAATATGATATGATCTTAATCAGATGAATACTTTTCTTCTTATCACCCGAACCAACCTCTTAATTAAAGGTTTTTTCCATCTCCATATCATGCTTCTATGAAGTTGTAATTAATTTGAGACGAGATTACAGAATCTAGCTAACTTGAAGCTAATAATAATATAATGCATGCTTTTCATACATGCCACTTGGGAATATCCATTGTGTTCATTTGTCAACTCTCTCGCGCGCACACACTTTATTTTCCGTCCACTTTATCTTGATTTCGTGTTCTTGATATGCTATTAATTGATTCTTTTAATTCTTTTACATGCAACAGACTCTGTCAACTAATTAATTAACATATATTCGCTTTGATTGAAGAAAGAAAGAGAACTTCATACACTCGCACAAAGCCCTCAACATTCTGACTTGTTGGTATTCTTTTTTTCTTTTTAAATCTCATTATTTTGAAATATATTTATCGGGGCACCTTCGTATAGTTAAGTTCATATTGTACGTAATTGCTTAGGTTTCATAATGTGGTGTTTTCTATATTTTGTTTTATCTATATATTTAGAAATATTTATCAATAAAATGTTTTATCTAACTGTTAAAACACTGCTATGTTTCTATAAAAATAAAAAAAAAAATTTAATTGTCAAAAAATATATTTATTAAAAGAGTTAGCTACAAACCCCAAACAGAACTACTTTTACTCTTTAAATTAACATGAAATTCAATTTTACTTCAAACTCTCTTTTAAAATTTACTTCTATATTTCAAATCAAAACGCATTTTGAGGTGTAGTTTACTGCGTTTTCTGTCTTCAAGAAATTTTGAGTTCAAACATCTTCTTCATAAGTAAAATTAAAACTATGGAATTCTGACCAAAACTGAGAATTGTTGTTCTACAATCTCAGTTTTTATGTTTAATGATATTCTTTCTCGTCCACTGCCTTGAGTTGAAATTGATGTGATCCACGCTTTTATTCTTCAATTAAAACAGTGTTTATATCACCTTTTCTGGATCTGCTAAAAGTACAATCTCTAGAGATGATCAGATTCCACATGTACTTATTCTTCTATTAATCATGATCTCTGTCTTAGACTACTAGTTGATTAAGATATTTCCCCTCATTTGTTTAGCCTGATAATCATTCACTAAGCACATATTGGATGTGCTAGGAGTGGAGGTAAGGTGACATTTTTTCATGTCGGGCCCTCCATGATTATAAGTTGATAGCTCTAATTCCATTTGTTTACATATTCATGTCGGGCCCTCCATGATTATAAGTTAATTAAGTCGTTAATCAAGTTGATAGCTCTAATTCCATTTGTTTATATCGCAACAATTATTATGATCAATGAAGTCACTAAAGAAGAGAATAATATCATTTCCCATCATGATTTATAGGAATTGTTGTTAAGCTCTTCATAGTGGATGACGTGTTTAGAGCTCTCTCCTTTCCCTTCTTTTTATTATTATTTTCTCTCCTTTGTTCTCTATAGTAAAATAAAAATTCACTAGTCTTTTTTAAAATTCAAACAGTACTTGGAAAGACTATATTGATGTTTCAATTTGAATAAAATTCTTTATGTTATGTTTCAATTCGGTGTTTAGTTAGATATAAAAAATAAATACAAAATAATAAAAACAAATTTAGAGGGTTTCTTTTTAGGGGTAGAAAAAAATCAAAAACTCGATTAAATTAAAAAAACAAAAAAAAAATAAAAATACATGAAAAAAATTGATTAACACAATTAAAATTTTTAAAAAATTAAATCAAATCCATATAAAAACATTGAATCAAATCAAAACCAATCATTTTAAATTGATTTTAATTTTTTATAAAAAAATAATTTAATTATTTTTCTTATAAAAACCAAACCAAAAAAATTCTATTCTAAAGCCCAATTGATATAAAAAAAGAAGTACAAAGAAGGTATAAGTTCCCAAGAAAAAGAGAAATTAGAAAGGGCTAATTTTAGTAAAACAGATCCTCAAGTGTTTTTGGGCCCTTGATTTTATGTATGGACTTTGGCCCATTCTGTAGCCATGATAACTAAGTTAGCACACCCTACTCATGTCTACCCTAGCAACACCATACTCCTTTTATTTTAAAAATAGATTAAAATAATTTAAATGTAAAATTAATAATAATAATTTGAAGATAGATTTAATATCCACACCATATTAATTTAATTAAAAAGAACACTTCTAATGTTTGAAAGCCTTGTCCTTTAAATTTAATTAAAGTTGTGTTTGAGATCACACTAGATGAAAGACCCCATTAAAATTCAGTTTAATTTTTTTCCTATCTATTTATTTTTAAAATAATATTTTTTAAATAAATCTTGAAGTCTTTTACCTGATAAGTGGCCTGCCCGGATTTAATAATTTTGCTTTAGACACAATATTTTTATTGTTACAAAAATACAGATATGCCCAAGCATTTATATTTTATACCGTAGCAACACCATAAATTTCCTCTTCACAGTTTTTCTAGGTTGACAGCAAGCCGCATATGCACTAAATACCTGTCACCTCCATTGGCCTCCACGTGTTCTCTTTCTTCTTCAACCAGACTTTTCTAGCTGTGAAGAAAGAACAAGAAGCCGACCGTTCAAGAACCCAAAACGCTTTAAGATCAAATCACCAGAATGACCTCTCTTACTTCACGTTTGATCCATTCAAGAACTTCACTCTCCAAATTATAGTACGTTCCTTCATCTTTCTTTTTTGTTTTCCGAGTTTTTTGCTTGCTTTTTCAAGAATTGTAGTGGCATTCTTTATAGAGTTATTTATATTGATAAGAAGGTGAAATAATTTTGTTAAGAATTTTTTTTAAATTGGGAAAAAAATGGGATTTTTGTTTAATATCGTGTGGCATTTATTTCTTGTAAGATCACATTGTGTTCTTTTCTTGTTTCTTGATGTGAGTGTTTAATGCTTCTCTTTATTTACTGGAAAATGCCAAAAAAAGGTCAAAGAGAAGATTTTTTTTGGGAATTGGCAATGATCCTTGCTTATGTGACGATAAAGATTGGTGGGGTTTCTTGTTTTTAGTTGCTTGCAGATGTTTTGTGAATAGAACAGCAATGACAACTTAATGGATGATTCTATGGTGTTACCAAATGTGAAGGATGTTTTTCTGACGAGCTTGTTTAATTTTTGAGATAGTACAATGGCTGTATCAAGTAATGGGAGATATTTATCCACTGATTCGAATAAGGTTGATGAACCCTTTAAAGTTGAGGAGGCTGAGACATTGAATGTACCTCCACCACCAACAGAGAAGGTATGCTGGACAGTGGACCGTAATCGGTGCTTTAGATATCTTGAGTTTTTTTTTTTTTGTACATTTTGATTGATATGCTAGTCGATGCAGTTGCTTGTATTGGGTGGAAATGGATTTGTTGGCTCTCACATCTGCAAAGAAGCTGTAGACCGTGGCTTAACAGTTGCTAGCCTCAGCAGGTATGGTGACCCTTCAAAGTTGTAAATTTGGTCTTTGGTAGTTGGTGATTCTCGTTTGATGTCTGCTTATTCATGTACCCTTTGATGCTAAAGAGTTTTTGAATGATTGTTGGTTAATCAAAACATATAGCAATCATAGTCTCCGGGGTTTATATAGGGAATACGGTGTCTTACCTGACTCATGTAATTTTTTTCTTCAAAAATGTGATTGTATTGCATTTTATATTAGTGATGTTTCTTGTTCTCGGTAGCTTTTGCTTTGCGGAGACTTTATTATCTTTTTACACTGACCAAATTTTCTTTTCTCTTTTCTTTCTCTATTCTGTAATAATGCTATCAGTGTCTGTTGGAAGGATTCTTCTCATTTTTAGGAGTGTCCCAACCTTTGAAATTCTGGATCATGTGCATTGCTGGTTTATGGAGTGATTTCTTGTGTTTTTGTGCAGTTTTTGGCCTCTCATCATATATAGATTCTTTTTGTTTCTGTTAAAATTATTGGCTTTTCCTTTCAGGTCTGGTAGGCCATCAATACAGGAATCATGGGTTGACAACGTGATCTGGCATCAAGGTTTACATTGTGCTGTGGTGCTTTCTTTTTGACTGTGCTTTTGATGTCATGATGTCTCTAAACTTTTTTTTTTCTAATGGTCCTCTTGTGTAGGAAACCTACTATCATCTGATTCGTGGATGGAAGCCTTAAATGGGGTCACCTCTGTTGTATGTGATCCCCTCACTATTCACCTAAATAACATTTTGTTTTTGTGTGCACGTGGGTGTGCAATGGTTGTTTTGCTACACAGGATGTGATTATGCTTCTCTTCTTTTTGAAACGAGAGATTGGTCTTTCTGCTAATTTGAGCATGCTTTCTAGATTTCTTGTGTTGGTGGTTTTGGCTCGCAATCTTATATGTATAAGATTAATGGAACTGCAAATATAAATGCAATTAGAGCTGCTTCAGAAAAAGGTATTTTTAGAGGAAGCCAAGTTTGTTTTCACCGTTTATTTATTTAGTTAGTTTTTGTGGCCTTGTGGTGATTGATAACTGATGAGTTGTGCATAAGTGTTGGAAAGCTGTTCCAAATAAAAGCCCTTGGAAGCATAAGTTTGGTTCATGGTTGTAAGAGGGAATCCTAGTTTACTTAAAGTTGCTCCATCCATTGTTAGAATTTTCTCTGATAATGGATCTTTAATGATGGATCTTCTCATGTGAAAAAGATGCTTACATATTTTGGAGTTATGAGTGAATTAAGTATATGAATGGTCGTACCTGTCATGCTAAGCTTGTAGATGTGTGGATTTTTGTAAGGGAAGGAGAGACTTTTAGGCTCCATGTTTCTTTCTTAATTCTTTTCTCCTTGTTACCTATTTCTTTAATCATCCTCTAAGGAAGCAAATTCTGGAGGGCATTTTGTTTTAGGATGTTTTTAGTCTTTGCTGCTACTTTCACACTTCTATTCTTCGTTTCATGGCATGTCTGCGATCTTACAGCATGCTGTGTTATACTGATAACACAAATGAACTTTTTAAAATTTTGTGAATTTTCATATCCTTTTAAATGTCTTTGGCCACAAAATAAGTTGCCTGTTAGAGAGTAGGTGGTTCCAGTTCTGTTTTTTTCCCCTTTTTGGTTGGGGGATTGAACTTATTTTAATGGATTGGATTTGTTGTAGGTGTAAAAAGATTTGTTTACATCTCTGCTGCTGACTTTGGCTTGGTCAATTACTTGCTGCAAGGTTATTATGAGGGAAAGGTACTAATTTTCATTACTGCTTATTTCAAGTGCTGTATCTAGAATCATGTCACGATAATGCTGATGGCTGGCATGGCACATCTTCATCTTCAGTTTTCTGGAAACAAGGACTGTTTTCTAAAGCTTTATAAAAACTAGTTTGTATTAGATGTAGATACAGTTTGATTTTTATAATACGTTGTTTGATATGAAATAGTTATATCACAAGAAGAATCAACACTTTCAAGTGTGCCTTGATAATTACTTTTCCCCTTTCTTATCATTCTTACCTCATGTAAATTTTTTACTTGTGGTTTGTTTGAAGTAGAAGGCTGCTGAAACAGAGTTGTTGACCAAGTTTGCATATGGAGGTAATTTTTTTCTTTCCATTATTGTAATTTGCACCTTTTATATATCTGTCATTCGTTTTACTCTTTTAGCAACTGAAATCTGAGAAAGCTGTCCTAAAACTTTTGAATTTGGAAAACTGTAAAATTTCCTTCATGTAAAATGCTATTATGATATATTGGTTTCATCCTTTATATCTTAGTACTCTTTTCATTGCATTTAATCGTCAAAATCTTGCAGTTTAGAATGCTAGTGTATGTATTGGTTAGTATCGTGGATTATAGTAACCATAAATCTGATGAAATATGTTTTGTTTCCTTCTTTAGGAGTGGTTCTCCAGCCTGGGTTTATTTATGGAACTCGCAATGTTGGAAGTGTGAAGTTACTTCTTGGTGTAATCGGTTCTCCATTGGAGATGGTAAGTTCTTGTGCATCCTTGTATATTTATCTAGATTACTAGGTTATCCCAAAAAACACTTGAATGTCGTACATCCAAGCCTGAAGCTTTTGGCAGATTTAGGTTAGCCAATCAAAGCCATTGCCTCTACAATCCCCATCCCCCCTGTGATGACTTTTGAATTTCTCAATATCTGTGGTCCTCCTCTATGCACCTTGCAATTCATTCATAGTTTTAGTTCTTCAGCGCTTGAGCAGTCTAGTTACACTCTTTAAGGGGATAAATGGAGATCGCAACTTGTCTTTTAGGAGCATGCTATAATTCTGCTCACCAGAAATCAATTTTTGAGGAGTGTTCTGTTGCCATGTCATCATTTACATGGGAGAAATGCTTGAAATGCGATGAGGAGGATTCACTCATATCATATTTTAATCCAGTAATTTGGAGGTTCATTGTAATTTATTAATGACAACCCCACTGCAGGTTCTCCAACATGCAAAACCACTTAAACAGCTTCCCCTCATTGGACCCTTGTTCACTCCCCCTGTCAATGTTACTGCCGTGGTGAAAGTTGCGGTAAGGGCAGCAACTGATCCAGTTTTCCCTCCTGGCATTGTGGATGTTTATGGAATACTGCGTTATAGCCAGCAGCAAAGAGCAAGATAGATTTGTTGATATCGAGAGTTCATCTGTTTTCTTCACCAATATAGAGTTCACCATCAATATCAAGATTTCATCTGTTTTCTTCTTCTCTGTAAGTTTTCAAAATGTTAGCTGTTGGAGTTGGAATCGAAGCATTTTGTGAACTGGAGACTCACAAAAAGGTTCCATTAACATACCTGATGAAATAAAAATACATGATAAGAACCAGCTCATACCATGTATGTGTCTCCTGATCAAAAGAGTTTATGTAGGTCTCATAATAAAAATCTTTAAAGCTAAATTATTTTTTGAAGAATCTCTTTTTTAAAGTACAAATATAATTTTATAATTCTCAAATAAACTCTTGCATGTGTAACTTATATATATTCATACAATAAATTTCTACATGAAAAAGCTATATATATATCTTTTGAATTACTCGAGATAACAATCAACGATATGTCTTGAAAACAAAATCTTGTGAAGGATGCTTCCTCGAAGGAAGCCAGAACTAAAATAAATGATTGGGAAATTCGAACCTAATGATTGCCTGTCGAGAAAAAGCCCGGTGCTTTCTGTTAGTAAAACCTAAAAACATTAATGAAACAATATTATCTTATTAACTGATTTTTCTAGATGAGCAATTCACGTCAAATATTTCAAACGATTTTTCTAGAGGATGTCGGAACGAAGCCCCTGGCCACCAACACCTCAAGAGTTTACGGGATCTATGCTACAAGCTTGAATATTCAATAATAATCACAAATACTTTGATTTAGTCAAGGGTAGACGATGGCGAAATAACCAGTAAGACAAGGGGTATTTATCGCTGACCAGAACAAGGCGACTTCCGACAGGTTAGAGGGCCACTAATTTGTCATACGTGACCAATACGTCCAAGTGCCGCTGTCTTACATGCAGCGTTAACCTTTGCCGGCGACATTGACTGTGATGGGGGTGCACAGTGTAAATGCAAAGCTCTTGCCATTCTCTTCTTCCAGCCCTTTGGACTAACAACTTAAATAATTTTAGTATTTAACCAAAATAGCCACGCCCCATTTGTGTTTTGGACATCTTTTATTTATTCTTACAAAGGGAGACATGATTTCTAAAACTGGGAATTAGGGAAAGGAGTAATCTGCTAGGATAAAGTATTTTTTAATTTTTTTTCTTTTGAAAAAGTGTTAAATTAATGGTTTTTTAGGTGTTTTTAATATGCCAATGTTAAAAATAAAATAAAAAATCATTTTGATAAATTTTAAATTGAAAAATATCATCCATCACAATATCAAATCTACACTTTGTTCTACTTCCTTCAAGTTCATATACACATCTTATAAGACACTGACACTAGTGCACACTTGGTGACTTTTTGTTTTTGGATAAAGGAATTTTAAATTAGTTTATGCATTAATTGAAATTAAATCTTTTTTGGACAATATTAAAAATACATATCTCACATTTACTTGATATATTCATAAGAATTTAGCTAATTCCTCTTAATGTTAGCCCAATGTTTAAATTCAGAAAATCAATGTTAAATGGAACAATTTTTCTTAACCATCAATGTCAAATGTCTCCAATTTATTGATATGATTTGATTCAAACAATCAAATCATGCAATTTCCTAGTAATTACAATCACGTATCTTCTCCTCGAGAACTGGTCCAAGCTCCTTTCCTTCAAGGCTTTAGTTTCACCTTATAAATAACACTTCCTTCCTTCCAAGCTTAAACCAAGAAAACCAGCTAGAATCAGCTCAGCCATAGGTGGACACCAAGATGATCATGAAAGAATACTCTTTAAATCCTTTTCTATCTTTCTTTTTCTTCCTTTCTTTGATGATTTTGTTCTTAGAAATGGGGGTCGCCCAGAAAACAACATCTACAATCCCAGTGAATGTAGGAGTGGTTCTTGACTTGGCTTCTTTAGAGGCCAATATTGCTTTGAGCTGCATCAACATGGCCCTTTCAGACTTCTATGCCTCTCATGGTGACTACAGAACTAGACTGGTCCTCAACACCAGGGACTCAAAGAAAGATGTTATTGGTGCAGCTGCTGCAGGTTCCCTCTCTGCACCTTCTCTTGGTTCTCATCTCTTTTCTCCAATTATGAATCGTTGCTCACCATTTCTTACTGCTAATTATTAATCTCCTCATGCAACATTTTAACAGTAGAGATTTTTACATTCTGTATTAATTATCTGAGGTGCTCGGCCTGCAAATCTCTAGTTTTTTCATAGAAATGCAGGTCCACTGACATGATATGAGAATATATATATATATACCGTTGCATGCTTGTTATATTTTTCTTTTCAAGCTAAGGGTTTTCTCAGAAAAACCTGCACATATCTAGACAAACTCTCTTTCTGATCGTATTTACGTAAGCCATTCACACTATATTAATAACAAAATTAACCTCGTTAACTAGACATAAAAAGAATATAAATTTCAATAATTTCTTTTTAAGATCTAATAAAAATAACTTGTTAATAAACTATAAGTATAAGAAGATAAATAATAATAAGGTGAGTTTAATAATTTAATAAGTAACTAATGTCCAATATATATACATGAGATAATATAATATATATATATATATAGCTCTAAATTCTTATAGGAAGATTTCTCAAATAGATTATAACAAGAATATCATAAGGTAAAACTCGTCAAAAAATCAAAATGTAATGAACATGAAACTCCGTGCTATGAAATAATCATTTTATACAGGTTGGTGACTCCCCTAACCAACTAGGATTCAAACACTATATGCATAAAAATTAACACTATCTTGTTAGCATAATTATTCTGAGTGGCATACCATAAATTCATAATTATAATAAAATAAACATATTCATATTTCAAGACTCAACTAATGATATCAATCAAATAAGGAGCTATCAATTCAGAAGTCAATTCAAAATATATATTGATTTATATCATATTCAACAATTGATCATGTTTTATCATAACAAGAATAATAATCATTAACAAATCAAATATTTATAATATTTTTTATGTATATAGATAATTACCCACTCGATTTGAAAGCAAATAACACTCAAAAGTAGATAAAAAAAAAATTCTATTGATGTCCCGCTACTAAAATATCATAATTATTTAAATATAAATTAGATATATTCAAAAACAATTTTAAAAAAACATATAACATATTTATTAGTTAAAATATTCCTTAACACTATATATTTTGTTGATATAAAAGCAGTTCTTGCATTATAGATGTACACTCACCAGTTAATTAGCCAGTTTTCCCTCTAGTTCAAACAAAAGTTCATGCTCTGCTTAAAAAGTTTGGATTGATAGTGAAAGAAATATATAGCTCGATCAGCATGGATTGCTAGACAAAAAGCATGTTAATTTTTTGCCGTCATGTCATTTCTTGATTTATAAGATAGTGTTTAATTACTGTCTCGTAACATAACAGAAAAGAAAAGGAAGTAAAGACAAAAAGAACATGTTTCTTCGTTTTTCTTGTTTTAAAATGATAGAAATTCACTATAAAACTGTCAAGAGACATGTTTATTTTATGTAGAAGTCGTACCAGAACACTAACCAAATCCAACATAAGGTGTAGAGCAATTAAAAGAGAGGAGCTCACGGATCATAAAACGTGACTGCAGAATGAGAATCCTATAAGAAACTGTGATCCTATGCTTGATCGTTCTCTGCTGCAGAAGTCTTTAATTTTTCTAATCCCCTTTTGAAATGCAGCCCTGGACTTGATAAAAAATGTGGAAGTGCAAGCAATCTTAGGGCCAACAACATCAATGCAAGCCAATTTTGTTATTGACCTAGGAGAAAAAGCTCATGTGCCAATTATATCTTTTTCTGCAACCAGTCCTTCTCTTACTTCCATCAGGAGTTCATATTTCTTGCGAGCAACACAAAATGATTCAGCTCAAGTGAATGCCATAAGTGCTATAGTTCAAGCCTTTGGATGGAGAGAAGCGGTGCCCATCTACATTGACAATGAATATGGAGAGGGAATCATACCTTATTTAATTGATGCTCTGCAAGAAGTTGATGCTCGTGTGCCCTACCGGAGTGTCATTTCTCCATCGGCCACTGATGATCAAATTGTTGAGGAGCTTTATAAGTTGATGACAATGCAAACTAGAGTTTTCATTGTGCATATGGATCGCTCTCTAGGAACTCGGCTTTTCACCAAAGCAAAAGAGATTGGAATGATGAGTGAAGGCTATGTTTGGATCATGACTGACGGTCTGAGTGTTGATTTCTTGAGTTCACCAAATCATTCTGTCACCGATACTATCCAAGGAGTTTTGGGTATAAAACCTTATGTTCCAAGAACAAAAGAGCTTGAATATTTTCGAGCTCGTTGGAAAAGGCAATTCCTACGAGACAATCCAAATAAAATTGACGCTGAGTTGAACATTTATGGACTCCTGGCCTATGATGCGACTACATCATTGGCCTTGGCAGTTGAGAAAGCCGGCACTACAAATTTTGGCTTCCAAAAGGCAAATGTTTCTAGCAATTCATCAACAGATCTCGCAACTCTTGGCATCTCTTTAAATGGTCCAAACATTCTTCGAGCTTTATCGACCACTAGTTTCAAAGGCCTCACAGGAGATTACCTTTTTGTTGATGGGCAGTTGCAATCACCAGCTTGTCAGATAGTTAATGTGAATGGAAATGGAGGAAGACGGATTGGGTTTTGGACGCCAACAGTAGGACTTGTGAAAACACTGAAACCGAGAATAAATAAACGTATGAATTCAACTTCTACTTCCAGAGTTTCGACTGTAATTTTTCCTGGGGATACAACTGTGGTTCCCAAGGGTTGGGAGATTCCCACAAATGAGAAGAAGTTGAAAATAGGAGTGCCTGTGAAGTCTGGCTTCAGTGAGTTAGTAGCA